ATATTATTTTAATATTTATGTATTAAAATAAAAATTGATTTTTCAATATATTAATTTTTAAAATATTGAATATTGAATATTTTTATTTTTATAAAAATTAATTTATATTTTGGACACACTGATCAATAAATTTTTATAAAAATTAATATCATATGACATTTTTTGAAGAATTATATAAATTATTTATTAAAGGATATTTTTATTAAAAATATTTATTTTTATCATATATAGTATTATACAGTGCATTACCAAATACTAGATGATATTATCTTATACAATATATTATTTTATACAGTACCGTGTCAAACGCTTGATAGTATTAAAATTCAATCAGGTCTTATACAATCAGGCCTTATACTATCAGGTCTTATACTATCAGGCCTTATCCTATACTATGCACCAAACATGCCCTAAGGGTGAGGGATAAGGTCTGATAAGATATTGATGTATTAACATCGTTGACCAATGTAATTCTCAAAAATTAATATATTATTTTAATATTAATCTATTAAAATAAAAATTAATTTTTCAATATATTAATTTTTAAAATATTGAATATTTTTATTTTTATAAATATTAATTTATATTATGGACACACTGATCAATAAATTTTTATAAAAATCAATATCATATGACATTTTTTGAAGAATTATATAAATTCTTTATTAAAGGATATTTTTATTAAAAATATTTATTTTTATCGTATATAGTATTATACAGTGCATTACCAAATACTAGATGATATTATCTATACAATATATTATTTTATACAATACCGTGTCAAACGCTGGATAGTATTAAAATTCAATGAGGTCTTATACAATCAGGCTTTATACTATCAGGTCTTATACTATCAGGCTTTATCCTATACTATGCACCAAACATGCCCTTAGGTCGGATCTTATGCTCAAGCCTTCTTTAGTAACCCACGAATATCGAGCTATTAACTCGGCACTAGGAGATGGATGCCCTGGATCAACAGGGGCGACTTCGACTTCTAACTCTGCAGAAGATAATTCCATAAAAATCTAGAACAGAAAAATTTGAAGATCAAAACAAGGGATATACATACCTGAATTAAAGAAATCATTATCAGGTGAGCTAGATGTATCATTCGAGACATCAATAAGGGGGCTTTTTTTATTAGAAATTGGACCTGGTTCCTGATTACCCCCTTGATGTGGGCAACTACCTAAGACAACAACGGCCTTAAAATCATTTCCTTGCTCGATGAATTTAGAACTTAAATACACACAAGAAAAGCAAGGCTCCGAGTTTGGATTTGTCGAACTCATTCTTGTAACTGGTAATGAGGTACTAATCTCTGTTGATGGATTCTCAACAACACCAGAAGTTCCAGGCTAACCAAATATTAGGAGATTGTTCACAGGCTGAGTGGAGGGTTACGGTTCAGCCGTCTTTGAAGAAAAGCTCATAAATATTGTTCTAATGTCCCGACCTGCAATTTTAAAACTACAGCCTCTACCTCAGCCACGACCTCGGCTTGAAGGGGGTTGAGATGCTAATCTTATCTTGCCCTTTCCACCTCGATACCCCTTAAGCATTGCAGCTTTCTCCTCTTCAGTTTGAGGGATACCCCAAAATTGAAATTTTGAACCTGGGGATACACTATGGATAAACTTCTCCTCTTCCTCGTTAATTTCATCACTTCGACCAAAACCACGAGGGCAAGTTGATTTACCCCTACCTCTGGAACTTTCCTCACTCATACTAAAAATGGGTTTATAAGTGGAGCAAGAATGGGATACAATTAGTCTTTTACAATGACAGTTCAAAATTCAGAAATACCCAGAAAATAGAATACAGAACGAAGCATACTTGAAGATAAACACCAAAATTCAGAAATATACTAGAATGTTCAAGAAATAGCAAGTCAGAAATCAAAGTTTAGAGATGCAACAAAGCAAGCAAATAGTAGCAAATGAAGTCGAGAACACAGAGTAAATCACAAGAAATAGAGCCAACACTTCAAAAGACAAAGAAGTACCTGTTTAAGGAAAATGAGGAATGAAGCGCTTGAAGAAGATGAAGGGTAAAGAGCCAACTGGGAAGACGAAGAGCTTCAGAAAGAAATGATGTTGGAAGGTAAAGAAATGAGAATGTGAAGGAATGTAAAAAAGAAAAGGAAATAAAACGGTTGAGCCCACGAAATGAAAAGGTAGGGGTAAAATGGTAAAAGTAAAGATAATATAGGACGGTTGAAAGACGTTCTGACAATTTGCACTGATGCGCGCAAGGCTTGAGGACAGTAGATGGCCTACAACGCACGCTATACCAATTAGAGGAAGACACCTATAAAGGTGTTATCATTGCCTGGAAGAGATAAAGATGCCAAAAGCAAATATAATGAGTCGATACAAAAAATAATTGTATCATGGCGTATAACTGTGGTACGTTCAAGATGATATGTTCAACTCGATCAAGCATAAAAACTGAGATAAAGAAACATCCTAATATTTCGAATACCTGAGTTATTTGAAAAGGTAGGATGGTTATCTCAGCTGAATAAGCTAGTGCTTCAACTAAAAAGGTTGAAGAGGAGACATTGAAACAAGATGTTCGATACCCGGTTGAGCCTGATCACAATTAAAAACAATAATTGTAATGAACGACCCTCTATAAATCAACCAGGCAGTCCGAACACCAAACTACCGGGCTTGGGAGCAGTTTTTATGGACCTATACAAGGCCCATATATCTGAAAGCCCAATAAAGGGAAAATACATGATAATTATACAATAGCATATCAGGCCCAAAGACCAGAAAAGACCCAGAACTCTTATATTCACATGTAAACTCTATAAATAGGAAACAAAGCCTATAGGTATGACCTAATCTCTCTCTTACTGTTATATGACCTAATCTCTCTTACTGTTATGTTGTAACTGTGCACACACACCACCCCATTGGCTAATATCATTATCAGTTGTGTACAGTGATCTACTACCTCAAACTATCTAACTCATAGATAACTCAGAGAGTACCTTATCCTATATTGACCTACTTAGGGCTGGCAACTAAAACGAGCCAGGTTGGGTTAGCCAGAATAAGTTGACAACCCAAGTCAGCTCGACTCGATCCACGCTAAAAAAAAATCAAGCCAACCTGCAGGTCTAACAGGTCAGCTCGCGGGTTATTTTTTTTTTAAATATATATATATAAGAATAATAATTAATTAAACAAAGAAAGTAAAGTGGAACTGTGAAAGTGTGTGGAACACTGGAACCTTAACCTAAATACTAAAATTTCAAAGACCCTAAAGCCCAAATTTCAAACACTCAAGCACTACTAATTATGAGGATGTACAAAAAGATATTAAATATGATTTATCTATATAATGTCTTTCTACTGAATAAATATATAATTTAGGGGAAAAATTTAAAAGTTAATAGCATTAATGAAAAAAAAATTTCCCTATTTTTCGAGTCAACCCGCGAGCTAAACCTAACCCGACTCAGGTCGGGTTGGGTTAAGTTTTCTGACTTTTTTTTTTTTGAACCAACCCTAACCTGGCTCGTTTTTTCGGATTGAACACAGATTGGATCGGGTTTAGTCAAGTTGACCTATTTTGCCAACCCTAGACTTACTAGCCATAGGCTAAACATTATGTTATCAGACCCGGCCCAGTGATTGAACCGGCCGGGATAGTGGGTCACTGGTTCAACCAGTGGGTCACAGGTTGAACCGCATGACTCGGCTTAATACATAAAAATTTATATTTTATAATAAATACATAAAAGTATACACATATATATATAAAAATATATTGGGTTCGTTTTTTCTGCAGTTACTGCAGATAACTTATCTGCAGTAAGTCAATACGACGTCGTTTTGGGACGGAAATCATGATATTTTTGTAATTTTAATTTATTTCAGGGTTATAATAGTCTTTATATTTATAATTTTTTAAGATTTCAATATCAAAACGATGTCGTTTTGGAAATAAATGCAGATAAGTTATCTGCATTAACTCCAGAAACATTTTTCCCAAATATATTATACAGGGATGCAAACATATATATTTTTGTGTGAATAAAAAAATCATATGTGATAACTACATATAATGTAAAAGAAATAATTATATGTTAATAATTCTGTATTAGGATAATTTTAAAACTAATTTTTAAAATTCAAAATTTTAAAAATATATTAATAAAATTATACTTCTTTTTTTGAAAATTAAAATTATACTTCTTTTCACCTATTTATATTTATATTTCACACCTTTCATTTCATCTCTTCTATACGGCTGTTCATCTCTTTCGTTTCATCTCTTTTTTTATTTTTTATTTTTTCTAAAAACTTCATTTCATCTCTTTCATTTTACCTTTTCACTACTTAACTATTCATCTGAGAGTTTTTTTTTTTTTTTTTGTCTCATTCTACTTCGTTTTTTGTTTGTAGATGATGATGGCAAAAGCAGTAACAAGAAAAAGAAATGGCCAAACACCATGGATCTGTCCGCCATAAGAAAAGGAGAAGTATGTGAGGCTATTATGGATGAATATGGCAACAAGAATATGTAGATAGTGTTTGCTTCTTTTTGTTGTGTAACTCATTTTTTCTTTTCTTCATTTTCATCAAGATCTGTGTCCTCTGCTCATCTCTTTCGTTTCATCTCCTTTCTTTTCTTCTTTTCTTCATTTTCATCTCCGGTCCGACTCGGTGACCCAGTGGGTCACCGGTTTTTAAAAAACCCGGTCGAGTTGCACGAGTTATACCGGTTGTTTAGCATGTCCGGTCTTTCAGGTTACCCGGACCGGCCACATGACCGGTTTACCGGTTTCCAGGTTGAACCGGCCGGTCCGGTTCGGGTTTTACAACACTGCATTTATGTGATCTAGACTGAACAATATGCAAATTGCACCAACACAACTGATACCAATATTTCAGACATGATATTTTGACATTAATTTTCAATTAATAATTCACATGATATTTTGAAACATATAACAGTATTTCAATTAATAATTGACATGATATTTTGACATTAATTTTCAAAATTTTCATTAATTGAGCTAATAAACCTATGAAGAAGGGTAAAGAAAGATAAGCACAATACAGTCCGAGTACTACCCTTGTCTGGCTTAGATAGCAGGTATGCATATAACTAATCTATTTCACCTTACCAACCAAAACTCAACAGCATTTCAATGATTAGAGTGACAAAAAAAAGGCACCCCTTGCATCAATATGAATGAAAATAGTCTCAAGAGCCTTCATTCTGCATTCTTCGGTAAGCAGTTCGCTCCCCACCTGGAGAGCCTTCATTCTGCATTCTTCGATAAGCAGTTCGCTCCCCACCTGGAGAGCCTTCATCCTGCATTCTTTGGTAAGCAGTTTGCTTCCTACCTGGTGATGTGGACCTACCACTTTGTTCGCATTTAACTGCTTCTATAACTTTACGATAATAACGCCAAGATGGATTTGTTTCTCTTATTGGGCGTTGGCCAAATGGATTCGATGACACATACTCTTGGACATTCTCAGCCATAGCCAGCCCTTCTAAATAAACCCGAAGATCACCTCCAGGTCCTGTGAACAGTAAACAAGAATGAGATAGGTTAAAATGCAGGATTCAGTGAAAGATTATATGGGTTAACATGAATTATTAAGACACAATCTTAAAGGCACATCAATATGCTTAAGAGCATTTAAGATATAAAAAACGACTTTGAATATATCAATCAATGGAAATAAAGCTAACAATCTTAAAAGAAATATAAGGTGTGAGGAGATCTCACCTAATGATGAGTCTGTACTATCGTAATAGTGGTAAGAATAAGGAAATATAGCTGTGTACATCTGAAAATAATTTGCAAATGTGAATTGACAAAATAGGTGAAAACGATATAACAAAAGAAAGTAAAGCTTGTTGCATGAAAGGAAAACCAAACAATAGAGCTTACAGGATTCACTAGTGCCTTGTAAGGGGAGTCATCCAATAATAATGTGTTTGACTCATTAAACTCTCCCTTCTCCCACGGAAGACCAGGTTCCACCTTTTCCCACAACTTTCTAAGTTCCTTCAACACAAGGGGCTTGTTTCTATTCTCAACAGTACTAAATTCTGTCATAGTACAGTGGGACTGATTCTACATAAAACAATATAGAAAGATTCAATGGCGTCTAGAGAAATTCCAAAGAGGAGTGAATTGATAACAACAATTATTTACAACTGCATCTTTTATGATGGCATGAAAAACAAAACATTTCCCTAGAAAGCAATTAAAATCTATAATATCAATCCAATTCCATTTTGCCTAAAGTGAAATTCAAGTATACAATTCAAATGAACAAAAAATCGAACTACAAGGTAGCTTCTGTTGGGTAATAAAAAAGGGAAGCCTCGAGCTATAAAGCTCCTGTTATGCACAGGGTCCAGAGAAGGGTCTATGGTGGGTTGCCTTACCTATAATTAATGATATGAAAAATCCTCCACAAGAGAAGGTATGTAAGTGAGCAGAAACATGAAATACTAACTCTTGAGGGAAATTAAATAAGTGACACAATATTGCAATATTTTGTTGATCACCACGACTTCCCATCACTCAATGCAAGGAATGGAAACATATATTAATTTTAATAACCACATAACATCTATCCAACACAAGCCATTTAGAGTAAAAATGTTAATACAGCACAATTAGATAGAAGATAGATCCTAAGACTACCTTGAGAAAAAGAAATTATTCATTGCATATTTATTTACCAAACCACAAGGCCTAAAAATTATGCTAAGAATTCAAGAGGATTTAGAATAGATTACCCAAGAAAAGAGCAGTTTGGATGCAGATTTGCCCATAAGAAATTCGACTACTTTATCAACATTACTCCTGCAAATAATAATATACAAGCATCAAGGTACAGTAAGAATAAATGTATAAAGCCCATTTTTCTATTGCTGAAATATAAATTGGTCCATTATTGCATCTTAAACCTAAGTCAAACTAATAAGCAATGAGATAAGATCAGTCATAGATTGGCAAATACTTGGCTCTAGATGACCAAACACCCACATGAAATCTGTCAAAGCAAAACTTCAGAAAATCATCACAGAAGGGCCTCTTGTAAACTGCAAAAAGCAAAACATATATGTCAAGATATGACATGTACAGAATGAGGAAACGTGATATTTGATCATGTTACCATTTCTCCTTGTAAGCGAAAAATCAGGTTCCCGATATCCTCTAGGAACGTAGCTGACAAAATCAGCAAGCAGTCCATTCACATCAAGGATGAGAAGCTTTTTCTTTGTGTTGTAACTATTAGTTTTGTCAAGTGAGAATTGTGAAATCTTTGAATGAACATCTTTTTCGTTGACTAAGCTTATATCAGAAACATCACCTGCACAACACGGATCATTTCTTGTAATCTCAGTCTGATCTAGCAATTTATCATTTGTTTCTTCATGTCTCACCAAAGGAGTGTCTACTACGGAAGATGTAGTCATAAATCTTTGCTCAGAAATGCCCTCTGTCATCAACTTCATTTCCTTAGCTGCAGCTCCACTGTGTGAGGTAACTTCATCCCTTGAAAGTTTTTTTTCTCTCTCCAACAAGCCAACCATCAATGGTCCATCAGAAAATTTATGTGAATCATCCTCGTGATGATCCAGCATGATTGGTTCCTCGTTACAATTTTCAGGACTTGTGAAACTATTGTTTCTCTCATTATTGGAATTGACTATTTTTCTCCTTGTATAGGTTTTAACATTCGGAAATTTATTAGAGAAGCGATAAACTGCTGGGTAATCATCATGTTTCTTTTCCATACTTACATTCTTCACAAAACCACTCTTTTCTGCAGGGTTGCAACTGTTATAATTTATACCTTGCTCTATGTTCAATTTTACAGCTTCTAATACAGACTCTTCTGCAAAAAACTTAGCATTTGATACAACTGAATTGCCGCTACAGCTTGATTCTTGAACGTCATACACTCTGTTGCTGTTTTCTGCAATATTCTGCTGTTTTTCTTCATTTTCTCCCTGACAACTATCCATTTCTATGCAAGATTGTCTCATTCCAGAATCAATAGAAACATCTTCAATTGGATGTTCCGAAAGCATATCCAAAGCAGGTGTAGAAGTTTTTGATGAAAAAGTATCCTCTGGAGCATCACAACAGTTAGCATTGCTTTCCGTAGCATTATGTTCTGTCTTTTTCCTTTTCCTTCTTTTATATTTCTTTTCCGAATTAAATTCTACAATTCTCTGAGAACTTGACTCATGCAATGGATCCTTTATAGTATCATCAGTCTTCTGTAAAGAATTATTCAGTGAAAAATCAGAACCTTTATTGTTATGCTCAACAGCTTTACCTTGTCTCTTCTCCTTTCTAGCCCTTTTCTGCTTCTGCGATGAATTTACTTCCTCTGCACTTGTTAAAGAACATCCCAAACTGGTTATAGCAGGAGGCTCCATACGCAAATCATTTACCACATCCATCAATCAAGAATCTTTAGATGGCTATGCACCTCCTACAGATGTAATAATTGAAGATCACTCAAGGAAACACTCAGTGGTATCTATACTTTCAATGGTGTTTAACTACTATTGTCCTACCGGTCCATTCCTGTGTTCAATGCCATTGATTCAATACTCTCATTGATTGTCATATCTTCTTTCTGTCCCTTCCCTTAAAAATCCTGGAAGAATAGTCAGTGGAAACAAAAGATAAGCCCACAATGGCCAAACAAAGTTTCAAAATCCACTGATCCCTAAACAGTGGCCTAAATGAACCATCAATCCAAAAAATAAAAATACTGCTTAACATCTTAAGCAATAAAAAGGAATTTGAAAAGTGAGAACACAAATGTTTAAAACAAATAAAAGAAAGAAAGAAAATAGAAACTCAAAGCAATCCTATATCAAAAGAGAATTCTTTTGTGACTTGGCTGAATCAATAACAATATATTGTCATCCAACTGTGATGCTGAATTTCGAAATTCGAAACTCGATGCAAAACAAACCGGTAATGCTACTGATCCCTATAATTTCTTTTTCTTTTTCTTTTATCATTTTATCTTGAATAAAGTGAGATAAAGCGAAGTTACTAGCTTTCATCAGCAACGTAGAATATGGCTCAGATTAAAAAACACAGTTTATTTCAGATCTTTATCAGTAAAATCAACAAAGAGGGATTAATTACAAAAAAGAAAATGAAATGAAGGATGAGAGAGAGAGAGAAAGAACCTCAGTTCGGCAGCGAAGAATCCAGAAAGAGAGTGAGAAAAAATCAAATCGATGTTGAGGTTAAGGATGTTGGGTTTTCGCAAAAACGACGGTTATGTTTTAGGGTTACAGGCGGAGTAACACTATTTTAAGTTTAAACGTCATTGTCAACATTGAGAAAGAGGGAGCTACTTTGTACTTGTTCCCAAAAAGCCACGAAAGCCGCACGTGTAAACGGGCTGGGCCGGGCTGGGCTTTGGCTATCCTGGCCCAAGCCTACGTCAAAAAGAATTTAGTCTATTTGGCGCCTACTGGCCTATTAAAGGCTTTATTTGTTGTCCAAGTCCGGCCCATTTTCAAAAATAAGAAAACCTGACATGGCCTACAGGCCTAGTAGGCCTCCCACTATATATACTAAGCAAAAAAAATAATTTTATAGAGCAAAGAAAGTTTTATTCATGCATGCACTAGTATTTCTCATAAGAAAAAAATGACAAACAAGAAAGAGTCAACATAATACCTCAGCTCTAGAATCTATATCATAGAGGAATAGAGTCAAAGAAATGGGAAAAATAGGAAAAATAAGAAAAATACAATTACTGGATGCTGAAATAAAGTCTACAAAAGAATGTCATTCATCTAAAAATCTTTAAACCACCATCAAGACAAGGGAAAGAAGAGTATTATTGAAAGATCTTCATCAGTAACATCATAATCCAGCAAGGTACCCATTGCTCCATGGTATTAAGCTGCAAACAGCATGTAAAATTTGGAGACATTAAACAAGTTTTCCTTTCATAAAAATAAAATAGCACAAAAAGTAAGAGATATTGGTATTTGGTACTTTGTGTCTTTGCCACATAAAATAATTATTATTTTATTATTTTATTTTAATAAATTAAATAGGCCAGCCTACAAAGCTGTAGTCCGGGCTTAACAAAATTGGCCTATGGCCTATTTATTAAAAAAGCTTTTTTATAAGCCTAAGCCTACTCTACTTTTCTGAAAGGCCGGGCCTGGGCTGGGCTCAATGTAGGTCGGGCCGTAGGCTGGGCTGGGCCAGCCTGGCCCATTTACACCCCTAGCCGCACCTATTGTACCTGTTATTCCTAATTTTTTCTTTTTTCTTTTTTTTTTACTTACTTAATTCTAATTATTTTTTTTTGAGGCGGGTTAGCTTCTCTTAATATATTTATAAGCTTTAATTCTTTGAACCGATTATAAGACTAATACAAAATACATGAAAGATAAGAGATGAAAATATTTAAACTCCTTCCAAAAATAAAATATAGATATCAAATCAAGGTCATTTTCTTTTCATTTACTAAACTCCCTTTCTACCAATTGATTACTTTTGATTTCCTATTTTATGTCCTTCTTACTTCACCACAATATCTATCTTATATTATAAAGGAATTCCATTCTGTGGAAACCTTGCTGACGTGTCGCACTGTGGTTCAATTTCACCAATGTGTTCACACTACAACATTTAAAAAAGTTTCCTTTAATGGTAAATCGGTGAATATAATAAATACAAAAAAGAATTATATTTTCAATTGACAGGATTTGTTACTTTAAATCAATGGTCAAGATTGCTTATTCATTGATTTATAACTACTAAATCACTCTTTGTCGTCATCTTTGTTTTTTAAATAATTGATGTTGATCATGTAATCTAATCGTTTTTTTAACCTTTATTCAGTTTAATTCAAAAACAGGATATTCATTGTTATTAAAACAAATGACTGTTTTATTCCATGAAATGACTGTTAAAAAACGGGATATTCATTGATTTATAACTACTTAATCACTCTTTGTCGTTATCTTTGTTTTTTAAATAATCAATGAATATTAAAAAATGGGATATGCATAGCAAAGAATCAGGAATGAGTGTTTTGTTATTAGAAAAAACTTCTGTTTTATTCCATGAAAATCTCATTTATAACTACTGAATCACTCTTTTGTCGTCATCTTTGTTTTTTAAATAATTGATGGTTATCATGTAATCTAATCGTTTTTTTTAACCTTTATTGAGTTTAATTCAAATCTTTACGTTTTTTGAAAAAAAAGGGATATTCATTGTTATTAAAACAAATGACTGTTTTATTCCATGAAAATCTCATTTATGACTACTGAATCACTCTTTTGTCGTTATATTTGTTTTTTAAATCTTTATTCAGTTTAATTCAAAAACTTCACATTTTTTAAAGAAGACAATTCAAAAACTATAAATCACTCTCATTTATACAATTCCTGATACGCATTATTCTTCAACGTCGGTGATTGCTTCTCTGTTTTTTCTTCTTACACAAGATATGAGTTCAAAATATGATTTTCTGAAGGATGTTAATCCTGCCAAGGAGGACTGGAGGATTAAGGTGAAGGTGGTTCGGACTTGGAAAGTTCCTAACTTTCAGCGTAAAAATTTGGAGGACAATCTTGAAATGGTTTTATTGGATGAACAGGTTGTGTTCTGTGTTTTAAAAATCTTCCATCTTTGTTTTGATCATTTTAGTTAACGTTGTTGACATAAGTTGGCTCCATTCTTTTGTAGGGTGGTAGGATCCACGCCACTGTCAAAGGTACCTTGCAGGTGCGGAATAAAATCAACGAAGGAGAGTGTTATTTTATAAAAAAAATTGGAGTTGGATTCAATAGCGATGTGTTTAGGCCAACCAAGCATCAGTATCGTTTGTCTTTCAACTTGAGGACTAATGTTAAATCGATTGTTGTTTCTGATATTTGTGCGAGTGATTTTGATTTTGTTGATTATAACATCATTGAGAAAGAAACGTCTGACTCCCCTTATTTAGTCGGTAATAGATTCTTCCTCACTGTTATCCTTTTTTTAATTATTGCGGGTTTTATTTTTTTCCCATACTCTTTGCTGCCTTTTTTAATTTTTAAACGTCATTGGTTTATTCTGTATCATGACTATTTCCTTATTTTTAAACTCTTTGCGATTATAGTTTTTGTTTTTAATGTTTTGTCACGAGTAATCTTATTCTGTATCATTATTTTTTTCATTAACTGTGTTTTTTGTGTTTCTGTATTCGTTTTTTATTATTGCATAATTTTTTTCACAAACTCTTTGCTGCATTTTTTTTTGTAGACGTCATTGGTTTAATCTCAGGAATTGGGAAAGTTTGTGATCGTGTGGTTTCTGGTAGGAAGACAAAAATGGTGGTGTTGGAGCTTGACGACCTGAGGTACTTACAAATGTTTAGTTAAATGAATAATTTTTGTCCAGCTCTGTTAGCTTATATTTTACGCGTATTAACGTTGTGCTTGCTGCAACTCACGTGTAGGGGTCATAAGTTTGAGTGCACTTTGTGGGAGCATTATGTGGATGAGGTCCAATCTTTTTTGGCAGACAACGACGATCCTCATAACGTCCTGATAGTCCAACTGGGAAGGATTAAGTGTTTTAGAGGTATGTTTTTTTCCAAACAACGTTGTTTTAATTTTTGCTTTTATAATCAGTTTTTATGCACGTTATTTTAATTAATTTTGCTTCTGTATTCAATGTTTATCTGAACCTTTTAACTCAATAGGTAAGGTCGGGATAACAAATACAAAATGAAGCAAATTTCGATAATGCACGCGAAAATGAAGTAAATTCGTCGGAACTGGAAAAGGCTGCGGTGAGCTATGAATTCGATTTAGATTCATGTTATTAAAAATATATAAATACATATTTGACATACCTTTTTCATATGAAAAAAAAAACAAAAAAAAAACACAGGATGTTGAAAGTCAGACCTGTGACAGTGCTGACGTTAGTGATGTCTCTCTGACGATGTTGACACCTGTGCTCACTTCTCATGATTCCATTGCTGGAGAATTTAAATTTTCAGCTGTTCGGCCGACAAAGAAAATAAAGCTTGAAAAGGAGTTACGTACTGTGGTTCTTATATTTTTATTTAAAATTCATTTGTGTTTATATGTATTTTTTCTTACGCGAAGCGAAAACAATGATAATTTATTTTTTTCTTTATTTTTTAAATAGATTTGATGCAGAGGCAGATGAGAGTACGCTGTAGATTGGGCTGCTGTGACTGAAGAGTGTTATTTTGCGTCTTGGGACATGATGTTTATTTGACAAACTCTTGCATAGACATTTTTTTTGTTGGAGTTACATCTTTAAGTGTTTTCATCTTTTGTAACTTACGTTTTTTAAATGTCCAAGTTTGTGATGTTTTGCTATGTTGAGTACAACAAAAACAAAATGTTACGTGGTGTTTATTAATGTATTCGTTTGCGCTTTTCTTTTTAAGAAAAAAAATAATTCATTGTTTGTGTAAGGGATATAATTCACTCTTTTATTTTTATTAACGTTAATAACTGGAATTCAAGTATTTCTTTTGTTTTCCAAACAAACACAATATCCGTACTCATCTTAACATCACAAGCTACAAATTTTAACTTTAATTATATTAACCTTATTAACTTCAATTTCCTTTGTTTACATCTCTGTTTATTTTTTAACTGAACCGAATGTAAGTAGGTTCTAATCGTTTTGTTTTTTTAATCTTTAATCAGTTTAATTCAAAAACTTTACATTTTTTAAAGAATACAATAGTACCCTTAATATAGTTTACAAGGGAGTATTTCAAAGACTGCTATAGTATATTGGGTTCTTTCTTCAAAGATATAACTTCGTTGTATGGTACAGGTAAAGACAAAAAAAAATGACTGTTTATTCGCGTCTCTTTTCCTTATCTATCTTCAAAGATATGACCTTTATTATCCTATTTTCTTTCCTATTTTTAATGTAACAATGAATGACTGTTTTGTTATTTAAAAAAATGACTGTTTGGGACCTTTGAAATACTGACAAAATGAGTTCGGCCCGGAGGGCCGACCCACCATGCCAAACAAACCAATTTTTTTTCCCGTGCATCGGCACGGGTAATTCACTAGTTAATATATAAAAGGCGTAAACAACATTGAAAAACTTGATGACGTGTCACTTTCTCCTTCAATTTTACTATTACGTTCACACTGGCAATTTAAAATGTTTCTACTTTAGGTAATTTTTCAAAATCAAAATTCAAACTTCATAGGTGGGAAAAAAAGAGGAGCATTCTCTTAGTGAGGTCCAGCTATATTAAATTCTCACTACTTTCTGCATGGTTTATTGTTAAACCTAT